AATCGGAGCTCCTACTGGTCCAAGTACCGAATCAACCCTCAAGAGAATTATTTATCTACTTCTTTCTTAAGAAGGAATGGATTCCATCTCGTGTAATAACATTCCCGGCTACTTACTTCATCATGTCTCCAAGATACAAGGAATAGGATTCAGGATCTCAAAATCCGTACCGAGTAAATCAAAAAACACAAATTCATAAATAGGAGTATGTTAAGAACTCAAGATTAAAATCATTTTATATATGACCATCGGTAGACTCAATTAAAATTTCTGTACTTAACCGAAATTATTAGAAATTCATATTGTGTCTATGTCCTTGTTCCACATAATCTCATTATGCGAAATACACTCATTCAATATCTCACTATATTAACAGTGCGGATAACACCGTTTCATTCTAAATGAGAATGACATGTATTAATAATGTTTTAATTAAAGATTCTGAACTATAATTAAATTCATTATGAACATTGCTTTTTGATTATTATCCTTAAATATTATCTTCTCGTATATAACACTTATATACAATGTTTAAGGTTACATAAATAATCATGAAATTTTTATTAATATTCATAAAATATTCATAAATATATGCACATAAAATAATGAATAAACTGTTTTATTAAATAAATAATAATATCCTATTACATCTTATGCTTCTAGGACACCATTCCCAACAGGAATCGCATCCTTGGAGGCAGGTCCCGAAACCCGTACGGATCCACTTCTTGTTTAGTGGAACTATGGCTCTGCACTTTTAACTATACAGACATTTTACCGCTTCTTGTTTAGTGGTTTGATGAGCTGCACACTTTCATTATACAGACATTTTCTACTATGTGAGTATTTCCTTTTCTAAAAAGGGATGACCGGTTCCGAGTGTATGTCTTCAGACCGTGATTACTTTTATTTACTATGTTTTACAAAAATTATATTCTACTGGACATTTCGCTCATTTTTCTTGTTTTCAAATGTATTAAACCCCTCCAGGCGACGTGAGGAGTAGTGCGGAGTAGGTAGCTACTACCGGTGATGTAAACTTGTCTTCGGGAAGCGAAGAGTTATATTTCTTCTTATCCTTTATCTCAAGGCATGTATAAAAGATTATGGATTATAAATTTAAATATTGCTAGACTGTGGTTGATGTCACATTTACTTTTGTTTATACTCATGTATGCTAAACACCTATGGGAATTCCTGACTTGATACCAGAGACGTGGTTTTAAACTGGTTTGGTTGGAAATTTCACCACCCCTCTTGAAATTAAATTTCTCTTGAATGCAGGGGTTTGTTTAGAAATACCTGGATGTTTTGGATTTGAAAAATTAAAATATTTGCAACATTATTTGCTAATCACTCTCTTAAACAGGTTTAAGTTTCTAAACAAGCCTCCACGTCACTAACCACGGTTTGGGGGCGTGACAGTCCCTCTCTCTTTCTCCACAATCTTTGTCTCCCCTTGCACAATCTCTCTCCCCCTGCAAGATCTCTCTCTTACCTCTCCATCTTTCTCTTTAAAGATAACTCAGCCGCTGTAGTCGCCTGAGATCAGAGACGCAAACTAACATCGCGATTTCTGCCATCTTCCTTTGCCCTCATCGCTGATCTGTCGTGGAACACTACAACAAATATCAATATCAGTAGCGGACCAAAAACGCTATTAATCACTAGCAATAGCCTTTTTAAGAGCGCTAGGACATCGAACGCTATTAAAAGTCTTAAGAAAACATAGCGTTTTAAGATAGTTATGAAAATCACTATAGAATTGAGGTATTATAACGTTTAAGACAAATTATTTTCAACCTCTTACAGCTATTTAGCATGACTACAATACAGATTAATAACTTTTTTTCCTTGTTATGTAGCTTTTTAAAATTATTATTAATATCCTTTTAAATTCATTCAAATAAATGGTAATTTTGAGATATGTGATATATCTAAATAGGAACATTCAAATTAAAACATAAAACATTCAACATATCAATTGTTATTAATATCTACCAAGTTAGCAATAAAATTACGTCTACAACATAATTCATACAATGTCCAAAACCTTAACATTCAAAACAAGTAAAGAAAACAGAGGAATAGCTGGAGATATCAAAGTATCCAAAACGTCTAAGTGCAATGGTGAAGTAAATCCTTCCATCTTGACAAAATGCTTCAACACAAAAATCATCTCCACTGTTTAACCTGTAAGAAAGTGATCCACTATCAAAACAATAATCAAACTCAACTAAAACTTCCACCATTTAACCTATAAATAAAGCAAAGACTAATTACACCATTCACAACTAAAACTTCATTAGAATCACACAATTCCAGCCTGTAAAAACCTCTTGTTGGTGCGTTTAAGAAAGTCCAAAAACATTCAAAGTCCTAATTTCAGAGAAAGAAAATACAACATCCTTGTTTAAGAAATATGCTTAGATGTAAGAAGCCAAGAAAAACATTCAAAGTCCAAAAACAGCACATAAAAAAATTACTCCAATCCCTTTTCTTTATTGGTTCAAGGAAGTAGACGTTTCCATATATTATGAAAACCTGCCAAGCATGTCGAGACAACAAGGAAGAATCCTCTCACCTTCTATCGCCAGGTCCAAACCCTCCTCTAGGACTCCTCCCATCGTACCCTCCATCGTCCCTCCTCGGCCGCTTATACAAGGGCCGAGGTGAGCGGCAGGGCAGCGAGTGCCTGCGGTCCCAATACGGCGACGGGGGCAGGCTGAGGCGGCTCCACTGCTTATAATCATCATAATAGAGCTCACTCTCAATTGTCTTTCCTCTTGTCCAGAATACCAAATTAAAAATTTCTCATCCTGAAATCCATAAACAAATCAATCATTTGTTATACTTTTTTTTTCATTTGTAGCTGATGAAATGAATATGTTACCGTGAAAACACAAAGTACCAACGATGGAATGGTACTTTTCATGAAGTAGTACCCTTGACTGTCCAACTATAACATAGTTGATGGTTTGCAAACAAAGTAATCACAGGAATAACAAAAACATCATGAACCAAACTAAAACTGAAATCTACGGAAAAATAGCATGTTGATAATAAAACAACCTGTTAGTTGAAGCATTTTCATATCCACGTCTCCTGTGAGAATATCCCTCACCTTCATCTTGTAAGCTGTGCTTGAAGTTGCAATCTGGACCCTTTTCACATTTTTCCTTGTTGAGAAAATCAAACAAACACCCCTCATAGATTGTTCCCTCGCATCCGCATCATGTTGAAAATGACATTTTTCCCCTCGTGGACAAGAGCCAGAGGAAACAAATTTAAAGCAAAGCTTATTACCATCTTTGTCTCCATATTTATGTCGTTTTTGTGAGACATCATATCTCTAGTACTGTGAATCAGAAACACCATCGTTGGATCTCTTTGCAGCTTCTTTTCCATCTACTATTTCATGTACTGTGTATGGAGATAAGGTAGTGCCTGCTGGCTTTGCACTAATGTGTATGTAATTAAAGTGGTTAAAAGGATTGTCATACATAAGCATTAAGTATCTGTAAGGAGATGCAAGTTATAGATACATACCTGCTGCAGGAAGGCAGAATTATTGGAGCCTAAATAGCAAGAATCTATAAGAACCGAAGGAGATGCAAATTTGTGACACTTTGAACATTCATTTTGAACTTAAAAACCATCAATCAAACACAGCCATAAGACAGGGAAAAAAAAGCTAAAATTGTGGTTGAATTAGTTCAGAAGTCCAATATACTTTCTCTTACAAAACTAAAAGAGTGAAAACAATCATCAATACATGGTTGAAGAAGTGCCAAACGGCCAAATAAACTTACAGAACTAAAAGAATACAAGAACCCCCCAAAGAAACAGAACAGACACTGGTGCTTTCTGGATATCACCGATGTTGGTTTTCCACTGCAAATCTGTCAAAAACAAAAACTTGTCACAAACTATTCTGTCATTTACAAATCTGTCAAAAACAAAAATTTTATGACCTAGAGATTGTGGGTTTTTGCTTGACGTGGCAGCAGAACCTTGGTTATGCTCTTTCCTTGGCAGCTAGTTCTTGGATCCGTGGCTCTGTGTAGTAGTCAGAGCGCCAGAGCTTCGGCATTAGAGCCTCACTACACAACATGAGAATCAATATTTTCAGACCAAAAACAAAATCAGATCAACACGAAAAAAAAAACCATGGATGCACTGAATTCTGAGAGAGAGGGTATCTGAATCTCTAGAAGTTTCAAAGAAACCCCACCAAAATCCATGGGGCGGATCTGGAAGCTTCGTTGGGCTTTCTGGGTTTTCCTCGCCATATGACGCCGTCACAGCAGCCCACTACCCTGGCCCAGCTAGATTTTTGAAATCGCAGCGCTGTCCCTGCCGAGGATTTGAGAGGTGGGGGACGAACTGGGTTTGTTTTGGAATTGGGTTTTTGAGATTGATGAACTTTGGATGGGGGGTTCACGAGCTTGAACGAGAGAGAGAGAGAGAGCTTTGGTTTTTGATGTTCTGGCTTTTGTTTTTGTTTGAATTGAAAAGAGAGAGATCTGAAAAACCTAAACTGAGTCTTCAACAGTGTGGGAGAATGAGTTTTTTTTTTTTTTTTTCCTTTCCTTTGTTCGTATAATGTATATGGGGAAGTTAGATTCATTTCAAACCAAAAAAAAAAAGGAGGGAGGAGCGACCGGGAAAATTATTTTCAATGCCCGCCTGGTGTTCATTTTAATGCGTACATTTATATATTTTTAAATATATATAAAATAAATCTGTCAAAATGTCATGAAATTTTAATATATATATATATTATAATTATTTTTAAACGTTATTATATACAGGCGCAGTAACGTTTTTTAAAAACTGTTATAACTAACAATTACGAAAAGTCTATTATGGTGTAATGGAAGATTAGAAATCGCGCTTTCTCCGGCTCTCTCTTCACTTCTCTCGCTGATCTGTCGCAGAAGACCGAAGTCGACAGCCACGACCAGCAATAGAGCTGTGATTTCAGTGTCGCCCTCTTCAACCTCGCAACGCCTTTGGAGATTTCTAGCCTCGCGACGGTGTCTGGAGATTTCTGACCTTGGGATCTCTAGTACGTCTAAACAAAAAAAGTAGTTGTGATGTTGATCAAATGCGCGCGCGCGCGCGCGCGCGCACACACACACACATATATATATATATTGATGGTGATGGTCTCCAAATCTGCAAGCCATTGCCGTTATATTTTCTTGAAGGACCAGAAGATGGTACTGATATTCTTTTGGACAAATAATCCAAAAAGTGACTGGAAAGCTCTGGCTTTGGCTTGAATTTAAAAACTTGATTATTGATTCTTGTGGCGTCAAATAACTGACCAAATATGAAGATTACTATAAACAAGAACGAAACTAGAAGATCTGAACGACGTAATTAAAAGCATATATATATTGTTGATTTTTGTTGGATTTATTTTTAAATTTTGTGTTTATTTCTTCATTTTTTTGGTTTCTTACTGTTACTTTCGGACAAAAAAAAAAATGTAATTTGGTTTCCAAAGCCGGTAAAGAGAGGTTTTTGGCCTTAGGTTTACTTATAAACACCATTAGGTTTAGGTTGTTGACCTTCACGACTCTCTCACTCTCATATAAGCAATGTGCTAATCTTGTTCCTCAGCAAAACCTTTGTGGTCGATAAAAAGAGTGTTTGATGACGACCAAGATCTAAATTTTACCTCACTCTAAGGCCTCGTTCACTTCACCGATTCGAGTTTTCAGTTTTAAGTTTCTACAGTAAAAAGTTCTCAGAAAATGTCACATCTAACTTTTTCTGCTACAGTGAAAAACTCTCAGAAAAATGTCACATCTCAGCTCGAATTGAAAACTCGAATCCGCGAAGTGAACGAGACCTAAATATTTTTCTAGATTGTGCCCCACTCAATTCTGGGATTACCTTTTTTTTTCTTTCTTGATAGTGTAAAGATTCATTTTCTTCCTGAATTATTTTATATGCACATTTAACTTTTAGGAGATTTTTTGGTACGCGGTAAATCAATTTTTTTTAACAGTTGAATCTACGTATCTTTTTTTTCTACTGTTGAATATGTATACTTTTTAATTTTTACGTGATTTTACGTAAATGAAAAAAAGTCCCTTTCTAACTAAAGTTTAGGATTGTTATAAAAAAACTGTAACCAATAATAACCAAGCAACACTTTCTTGGAAAAGGAACTGTCGGAGGCCGTCCAACGTTGTTTGGTCGACCGGTGGTTCTTGCATTTTCCCCTGATTTGTTGGTATCCAATGTTGATGCCTGATCCTTGTCTTTCCGCTTTCCATAGAGGCGCTACCTATCTCCGTGCGCGGATCTACATACATCTCAATGGAAGCACATACCCGTATTAAAAAAAAAAAAATTCATTATTATATCAAATTTTTAATTGGTGCCCCGTGTCTTAACAAGTGCCCCCATCATATCTTGACAAGTGCCCACATTATTTCCCTAAACTATCGTAATTCACTTTCTTTTTTATTTTTTAATGTTCTTTTGCCTTGACTGATGACATCATCACTTTAGGATTTCTCTCTTTCTCTTTCTTAAAATCGTTACTGTTTCAAAATTTAAACTTTTTTTAGTTCATCAAATGTATATTGCTTATTTTTTTTCCTTTTTTGTCGCAACTAAAGCGTCTAACCTTCAACAAAAAGGGTCATCTACCATTTTATTCCTTTAGTCATAATTAACCAGATTTCACTCACCCTATTTATATGTACTAGTTTTTAATGCGTGAGAGTCGGTTATATAAATTATTTTAATTTATTTTGTTGTTTTTTAAATTAATATTATTTTGTCTTGTTTAATTTGTTTTTATCTAATTTGGTGTAATTTTATTTTGTTTTAGTGTATTTTTGTTCAATTTTATTTGGTATTTGAATTATTTATAATATTTATATCTGAGTAAGATCATAATTTTGATGCAAAACAGTGTTAAAATGGATAAAATCATACCACAAATATAATAAATAATTATAATTAAAAAATTATGTTATTTTTTTAAAAAAAGAAACGATAACGAAAAATGCATAAAAGGAACGTGTCTAGTATGGTGATTCGAATTATATTTGGTCTGGCCCGAAAAAGCTCGCGGTGCGATATATGTGGTGAAGCTTTAACACTGAAATTTTTTTAGGGGTCTGTGGTGGTAGCGAAGGGATCGGGCCTACCGGCCCAATCCCATAGCCCGTCACTGATCCCATTGGGGGTGCGGGGGCGGCGGTATGGACCTTTTTTGTTAATGATTTTATTGTCTTTTAAATTCAATTAATTTTAATTGTTTTGTTTAATTTTTTTATTTAATTTGACGTGATTTAATTTTATTTTAGTATATTTTTATTGAATTTAATTTGATTATTCACTGTATTTTTATCTAAAAAATATTAAAAAATTGACACAAAACGGTGTTAAAATAGACAAAATTAGACTATAAAGCACTCTGTAATAAATAAAGAAATATAATAGCTCATAATAATTAAAAATATTTAACTGGGATTTTTTTAGACCGTTGGATCAAAAAGATAAACAGCCAGGATGAACGTGTGTGAAGATCATCTGGCGGACAGGGGGCCGACAAGAGGGGCAGTGCGGCAGCAAGTCGGGCCCGTCACTTTTCACGCAAGCCAATGACGCTACGACACGTGGTAATTGTTGTCGGCCACAAAGGGAGGCGCGGAAGATTCTATGTCTAGGTTATATGTGAGCTCATTTTTCTCAGTGAATTATATTACGACACGTGGATACATATTTGAACAGGCCTTTCGATTGTGCACGTGGATCGCACTACAAGCCTTGTCTAGTCGCGTCTTAACACGTTGCTTTGCTAGTAAATCCTACCACACTGGAATTTTTCCTCCACCAGGAAGCCCAAAAAAAAAAACTTGAACGAAACGTTTCGTTCTGAAGCCAAAAAAACCGATTCTCCCTTATATGTATGTAATAATAGATTCTAATATATTTCTCGCATACTTCCCTATTTATATGTATTCTAATATTTCTCGCATTCTTCTAAACTACCTGCCTATTCAACTCCATTCTCATCTTCTCGAACACCCTTTTCTTTTCTCTCAATTTACTTCTAAAAAAATTCCATTCATTATTTTGATTATTCCTTAAAATATTTTCTTCATAATGTATGTAAATTTAAATTTATTCGTCAAATATAATAAGAATGTGAGAATTTGTTAGATTTAAATATGATACTTATATTTGTTTTCTTCCCCTTTTTTCAGATTTATTGTATTATCTTAGTTAGGCTGTAAACAATAAATTATTAGTCGTATTAAATTTACTTTTGAATTCTATATCTAACAGTTATCGGGAGTAATAAATTTTTATTATTAAGCACATAGAAAGTTAACACTCCCCCTAAATAAATTTGTATTATTAAGCTAACACTCCCCAATTTTTGATTCAAGTATATATATAATTCATATGCCTTTTTTTGCCCTCACTAAAATTAAATCCTTGATTTGTCCCTCTGTTCCTTTAGGCCGGGCCGGCCAAACTTTAAAGGAGAGAGCGTCAGTCTAACTTGGCTCTAAAACCCAAAATACTTAGGGCCGACTTGGTCCAACTAGAAATTTTATAATGTATTTTTAAAAAAAAAAAATTTTTGAGAAGAAGGCGTTCGAACCGAGCTAGGCCGGCCCAAATAAACTTTTAGGCTCGAAACCTCAGAACGGATCAACAGTAACGGGTCTCATACCAGCTCTTTTAACTTGATCTAAACTTATGACTCTCATACCAACTTGTGTTAATTTTGATCTAAACTTACAGCTCTATTATAATCCAACCAATTGAAGTCATTGATCAATGAAAGACGAGCGACCTTACTAAACTTTTGTTACAAATCGTGCTTGTTTCTATTGAATTGTTGGCTTCAAAATTATAACAACGACACAATTTTAATTTTCACCAAAAACTTCTTGATCACTCACTCATCACTGTCTCAACTTCTCTCAAATCCTCACTAGAAATCTACAAAGCAACGCAGATGATTTTTCTTCTTTTTTTCTTTGGTTACCGGGCATTGTGACTACGGGTGTAAGAATTAAGCTCGAACCTGAAAAATCCGCACGATCCGACCCGCACGACCCGACTAAATAGGTTTTTTTTTTTTTTTTTTTTTCCAAATTAAAATGGTCTCAACCGCACTGTACAGGTTGGGGGGCGAGTCGGGCATTCTTGAACCCGCAATGCCCCGACCCGGCCGTTTTGAAGCCTGTAGCCCAAAATCTAATTCCTAAATCCCTCGTCCTCACCTCAGTCTCTCCTCTCCTCTGCTGTCCTCGCCTCTCGCCTCCCTCCTCTCCTCTCGCCTCTCGCCTCTCGCCTCACTTCACTCACGCATGCCTC